ATGGATGGATGGATGATGGATGGATGCATGGATGGATGGATGGATGGATGCATGGATGGATGGATTTGATTACTATATTTGTTAAAGAAGGATTGTTCACAACTTTTGGGCAGCGAAAATGGGTAAAGAGACTCCCAAGTGCATACTCAGCATTAGCCCAATGTTTGGACTTGTCACCTTTGGCTGTAACACAATCAAAGATTACTTATTGAGCCTAAATATTATATTGTAACCAGTATGGATCAGCAGGTGCTTATATAACAAGTGGCACAGACTTCATTAATATGCTTGTAGGTAATATTTGACCTAAATATATGTGTCCTGTGAATTGAATATGTAGGTTTATACGAGTATATGTGATTACATTATATATGTGAGTCTTTGTCCAGTGTATACAGGTATGTATGTCATACAAAATCCCCAACGATGGATGGATGGATTTAGATTTCCAGACTCAGTCCATGTATTATTTTCAAACTGTCTGACACCTCTACTAGTTGTGTGATTTTATTCTAAAGAACTTGTTAAGCAGTGTTTTCTCTCTTTCTTCATAGTTGATCGACTCCAGGCTTACTGGGAAGACTGTCAGACCAAACTGTCTGATAGGATGAAGCAGCTACAAAACATGCTGCAAGACTCTACCAACTGGCTGGACGCCAAGAAGGGGGTGGATCATGTCGTCAAACAGGCCAATGAGAGACTGGATTCATGGCAGGAGATCACTTATACAGTTGATGCACTGAAAAAACAAAACGCTGAACTGAAGGTGGGATCTGCATTCTGAATTTCACTGTATTTATACAGACATATAGTCTGCTTACAAGAGCCCCCCATTAATCAGATCCAACCCATATAACCCCCAATCAAATTATGAATTAACTTGCATACATAGGCTGTTGATTTTCTTTACTCATTTCAGGTATTACCAGCAAAACAGTTGCATGTTTAATCATCTGGAAATTTAGCCAGATGTATTTATTTATTTAGACAGAGTTCTGCCCGTTACGATGATCACTTAGAGTACTAATCAGGTGGAACCAGGTAATCGTGTTGATGATTTGGCCTTTGTTTTCTCCCTGCTTACCCAGCTCTTAATGAAGGAGCTGCAGCAATCCCAGATACAAGTCAAAGAAACCAATACACTGGCCAACAAACTACTGACGCTATATGGCAACGATGACACTCACAAAGTCACCCAGATCAACAACAACATGGACACTGCCTGCATATACATCAACAAGCGGTAAGCATTATTTTAATTTTATTCTGCATTTATTTTATTTTTATTAAAAATAAACATTTAGGCAGCTATGTTGGTGTTTGACTTAATGGATTTCTCTAAACGATGCTTCTTACGCTTTCAGCCTTGGTTTCCATGGAAATAATAAGTGCACTTTAGTGCAACTACCCCGTCAAAACACCACAATGACTATTTCACCTTTTTGCAAAACGTGTTTAGTCAGGAAGTAATCGTGATGTGATTTCCTGGCACAAAAGGCACACGTTTAGTTTTCCACATAACAGACGAGCATGATAAAAAGAGCATTTGCATTATCTAACAAGAAAGCTTTTAAAGCTATTTAGCCATCATGGAAGTCTGGATATTACGTCTATCAAATCTTTAGGCTTGTTTACTGACTTCTGCTACATTACATTTGGAATAGAATTGACCCTAAAAAGGAAAACCACTCACTCTCTGGGCAGTATTTGCTTATTTTTCTTATTTATTCCCGATCTGCTAAGGGAATCGTATTGTATTTTCTATATATTTATTCTGTTATTCTTTTTAAATGTACTTTAAATTTGCAGTTCAGTAATAACACATGCAGAGTGCAGGATTTTGTTATTTACCCTGTTGAAACTATTGAAATATTCTTAAAATGACATAAATGAACACATTTTGTTTTACAAAAGAAACAGTTTCCCCTCTCGCCCAGACTCTGGTCCTCTACCAGAGGCCTGGGAGCTTGAGGGT